CAATGTTAAATTACCGTAAACATAATTTGTGAAGAGCTTTTGTTGATTTTCTTTTCGATAATGATGAAAAAGTGGCCTCTTCTAAAAAACATGCCCATATCGAGGCTAGAGTGCAAAAATCATACCCTATTTATGACCAAAATGGCCAAAATAGGCTAAAATGGATACCCTACTTATGACCAAAACGGCTGAAAAACCATACCCTTTGGGGCCGCACATACCTATATAACTCATATAAGGGAGCAACCCCCTTCCCGGGATTCTACTCCACCAAATGCCTCATAGAATCCTTGCCTCTGCGGTTCTTTTCACGCCATCTTATGAGCGAAATGACGTGCACTATCAGACACACGATTTAAGTACAGCAAGTACTAGTTGATACAAGTACGACTTCTGTGCTGACATATACACTCACCACATATACCAGACAACAAGGGTCTTGTGAGCCATTTTGAGAGAGGAAAACAAATCACGGAAGTCTCCGAGCCTTTCTTCCATAGGCAAACACAGCATTTCATGAGGCATTTCATTATCATTCAGCCTGGCCACTTTACTTAGAATTTCCCTTGCCTCTGTCTGTCTACCTTTCTTTAGAAGCCAACGAACAGACTCTGGAATAAAACTGTGAAGCCATAAAAGAAAGTTAATACTCTAAGTCTGTTCTTAAATTTCCCGTGATTTATGGCCAAGCGTCTGTTTTTTTAATTGTAATGGTTAATAAGAAGCATGTCTATGTGGATCGAGTTGTTTCTCTGGGTTAACCTCTTTTCAAGTCTTCCTGGGGTGTGTTACCTTGATGTAAGTAACACAACAACAAAGAAGGCATTGAAGAAGCGTTATGCGTAATATCGTAATACCGTTTTACAAACTGCGGCGGCGCAACGGGGCGCAACCTTCTAGACGTTACTAATCAAACTGTTCGGTAATCGAACTAAATCGAACGTTTGGGTTCGATTAGTTCGATAATCGAGCCCAATCTAACTTAATCGAAAAATCTACCAAAAGTCAGACTGGATTTTGCGCGCCGTAGCTTTTATTTTTTAGGTGCCTCGATTTTTAATTTATTGCCTTTAAGTTTAAGAAACATTAATTCTAGAGTTTTATTTAGGAAAGCCTTAGACGATTATTACTTGTAATTTCTATTGTATTTTTAACGGTTTTTAATATGTATCTNGTATCCTGGGTATCAGAGGTTTTTTTTATTTCGCGTGATTAACCAAAACCGGAAACCGCACACTGACCAAACGCGCAGGCGAGAAAATTGGACACGATTTAGAAAATTGAGATGCGGAATATCGAGTGACTGATCTGACTTTTCCGTTCACAATTTTCGCTTCGGTTAAATTGTTATGAAATGTTATGGTTATATATAGGCAAAGCCGATTACAAGGCATTCCGCGGAGCTTTTACGGTAATCTATCCAAAGAACTATATATCCTGTAAATTATATCTTTATGGAATATGGTTAGTTATGACTTTTTTAATTCTGTTTAGGTTAAAACTTGAAACCGCAACCCAAAGACCAAACTCCATGCCATGCCTCGTTTTCCGGCGGGATCATTTGCGGTCCAGTTTCGGGATCATTTCCGGTCTGGGGATCAATTGCGGTCGGGGATGATTTGCGGTGTTGTACAGATTGCGTGTTTTATTCACCAGATAACTAAAGCGTGACCGTGACCGAGTTGTTCTGGGTAGTAGGGTACCTACCTGAAATATTTTGCTTGTAAAAGCGGGCTATCTGTGACCCTCTTGCTAGGATTGCCCTACCTGCTTGCAAACAGGGCCGTAATTTGAAAAAATATATATGATAGTGGAGCTCCTGCGCGCCGAAGGGGCACGAGCGGAGCCCCATACCTTAGAAAATTTGGTAACCCATCGATCTAAAAAAAAATGGTTGTCACGTGACTGTCCGTACGTATATCCGTTCGATATATTGAGTACGTAATTTTTAAAATCTTGGTAAAATTCGGTACGCTTATTAGGTAGAGTTTGTTAAAATCTAACTGGAATAAATAGTGAAACCAAAGGCTGAACAATCACAATCATTTTTTTGAGTTTCTGAAAAACAAACAAGAAAAACAAACTTCTCTTTTTCCTTAATGGTTAACTTATCATAATCAGGAGTTCCGATTTTAAGCCTGGCTAAATCTATATATTATAAGTTCTTAATACCTGAATCTCACAACAAACGGGGCAGAAACTGTTCTCGCTAAATTCAGCATCATACACCGGCGACTCACAAAAATCAAACAGGCTGAAATACTGTTCATACAGTGAAACGAACTTAACAATAAGGATAGAAAATAAATACAAACTGAAATATTAACTGAGAGCTCTTATTAGTCTTTAGACATGTATACACATGCGTCAAGTTATGCACATATGTTTCAAGGAAGCTTTTAGAAATTGTCCCGGCTTCATACAGTACGAGGAACTTTTAACTCAGATTTTACTTAACCTAACAATACTGTTTAGCAAAACTCAGCAAATTAAAGAATGTGCCATAGGTGCGGTTTATTGTGATAATCAATCAACGGACGAAGAACGAGGAACCCCTGCAAAAAGCTACTATTCTAATACTTTATACTCGACTTTTTCAAGACTTTGAAACCTTTAAGTACAACTACAAAGAGGCTCATTAAATTAACTGACTTTTCTCAACTGATGGACGATAATTGTAAAAAAAGTCTTAGTTCTCTTTAACAACAAGTCACTGATTCTATTGTATTATTAATTGATTTGTTATACCTATTCCTTTATTTTATATTTCACCATTTTATATATTATATGATTGTCCTAATGATGCAGTTATGTGTCTAGGCCAAATAGCTTGTGTCAAGGCGTCGTGAGCCGAATGATTCAACACTATAAAAAAACTAACAGGTTTTTCTTTACAAAGGGGAGCCTTCGCCTTCACCATCCTTTGTAGTCTTCACTTCATCTTTTTCGTATAGCAGCTGTTCCTCCGGATCGTATTTCAAGTTTTCTATGGTAGGTTTGTTGTGAGTCTCTGGTAAGGTCATGCACAACATTGCGGCACCCAATGCAAGACTGGCCATGATTCCAAATGGCAAAAAACGATGGATTTCAAGCTGAAGAGAAAAAAAATTAGAGATGAAAAGACAATCGGGTGTTGAGCCTTACAGATAAATATGTTTTTACGAGTGATTTTCCTATAATTTTGCATATAATATCTATCTGAAGTTGTATTAATCCTGGACGACTACAGTTCATAATGCTAGAATTACAGGTTACACAACCACGATGTCGATTACAGTGTGTGCAGTCTACGGTGAAGAGTATCATGAGGACCGAGTTTTGCACTCGTCGCTGCGTTTTACGAAACTCTACAAAGTTTACCAAGCAAAGGAAACAATAATAGGACCACTTACCAAGAGAGGCGCATAAGCAGACGCAAAACCACTCACTCGGGCCCAAGCTGTAGATGTTCCCATGGCAACATTCCTGAGTCAAACGGAAAAATATCACAATGCATTTTTCAAACACGCCCTTGGTAGTTATAAAGTTCGTCATGTGAAATCGACCTCGCACTAAGGGCTCGATCGTCCGATTTTGCAACTACTCTCCCTATCACTCCCTCTCAGGCATTCCACTCGGTCCAATTACTATTGCGAATACTATTTCTTCTCAGTATCACCTTGCACTCTATATGTTCTCCCTAGGACAAACTGCACTGAATATCTCAAGTAATAATTTAAACGTCACCCAACCAAGTGAGTGATAAAACTGCCATCAGGCCCTGGAGTGCTAAACATCGACTCAGGTCTGCTATGAAAAATACTCTCCCTGGGAATGGAAAGTGGCAGCCAGTCATTTCAGCTAATTTTTGAATCTCGGCCATACTGACTGAAGGTTGTAGCAAAAGCGGTACGCACCAATGTCAACATTAGAACTGCAAACTAGTTTACATGTACCTTAATGTTGTTGGGAAAAGTTCTGCTGCGTAAATATACACCAATGTGAATGCAATCCCAGCACTTAGCTTTGCCACGAACATTGACATGAAGATTTTTCCAGCCAGGTAACCTAAAAGAAAGGGATAATTTTGATCCATATTCTGACTTATGGTGAGAAGTGCTGTGATGTTTATCCCATGTGTGAGATCCTGACCAGGCTTAAAGCCAAGCCTGTCGTTCTTAGCTCAAGCTGCCAAAGGTCATAGGCTGCCCCGTACAACAGTACGTAGACTGATCTTGTCCCAAAGAATGAAAGACTCCTTAACGAAACCTACCGTGAAATATATTAAGCAACGACCCTCATTGCTTTAGGAATCAGCAGCCTTTGGGGTCTTCATTTCAGGAGCTCATTGTTTTCGGAGAGTTGTTACTTTCGGGGAGCAAAAAAGTGTTCTATAAGTTGGTGCAAGCCCTTTTTTTATGGTAAAATCATTCCTTAATTATTTAAAATATGAGATGAAAGTCTTCGTTCCAGTTTAAACCGGTATGTTGTTGCCATCAGTGGTCAGCAGGAAAGCTAGTCAGATACCGTGCAATTGTTTGACTCTGATTGAAAATTTGGATTTTGGTACTCTTACTTTAATGATTGTAGTGTAAGAAATGACTTAAAGTATTTTCTTATTTACCTTTGTCGTATTCAGCTTTATCCGACAAAAGAAGTGCGCCAATAGCTCCGACTGCAGCTCCCATGAAAGACACTAACAACAATTTTCTGCGGCTAAACCTGGTTGAATGAAAATGTAGTATCAAAATACAAACAGCGCATCGCTAATTCTACATATAGAGGATATTACGTGGCCGTGTGGAGATACGAAATTTATCTTAACACTAGAAGATAAATTTCGTATCTCGAAGCGAACATGTAATTTTCTTTGAAATTATATAAAATATTTACCATGCAGTGACGACGTTTGTGCCGATTTTCCGACAATTTCCGAAAATTGTCCAAAATTTGCCCGAAGGCCAGACGAACGTTTCCGAACATTTTACGAAGATTACCGAATATTTCACGAAGATAACCGAAGATTGCCGAAGACGTCTGAAGGAGATCCGAAGATGTTTCGAGCATACACCAACAAATTTAAGCGTTAGTTAAAATGTTATCAAAAATGATATCTTCACATAGGTACTTAGGACATAATTATATTCTCGATCTCAGCTGTTGAATTGGTAGGTGATAAGTTTGTTGTGGTTGTTGTTGTTGTTGTTGTAGTTGTTGTTGTTGTTGTTGAGGATTTCATATCTTCACAAGTGAGGATATCATATCGCGTTTTTATCAAATTGTTACCACTCAGTATACCTCTAACTTTTATGAAAATAATATGTGATTTGGGTTTCTTACAATTCTATGCTATTTCTTACCACACAGTCAAAGCAGCACACAGTGGCAGCCCTGGTAAACTTGCGGCTCCTGATATCACCACATTAATATACACATTACCACCCAGAAAAGGTGCACTGAATGATATTCCCCAGCTAATGAAGGACACAGCAAACCTGTTTAGTGGAAACAAAAAAAGAAAGATATATGACAAAGATATCAGGTTTCCCCAGAAGAAAATGACGGGTAAGAGTTTCTGAATCCAATCCCGTGATGCAGACTATACTCACGTGGACACTGAGCCTTTTTACATAAAGACAACCACGCAACGTGTGTGGAAATATTATCCGCCGGAGAACTGGGTGTAGCATCTCTACATCCAGCTTGATAGAGATTCCCTAAGATAGGAGGCCCATAATGGAGATTGACTTTTCATCGGTCATCCTCTCTTAGGTTCCTTCAGTAATAAACCGCGATATATTTTTCATTATTTTTTTTTTTTTTTTTTT